TGGTGAAATTGGAGTCTAATCAATTTATTTATTAATTATTGTATATAACTCAAAACTTAGAATGGTAATAAAAGGAAGATAAACAGAGAGAAAATAAATTATAATAATAAAGAAAATAGTGAATATAGAATAATGAATATAAGATAAATATTATGAATAAAATAGTGCAAAAAAAAAAAACAATATTAATAGTTGACGATTACTTTTGCTTAAAGCTACAGTTATGACATAAATAAAGGTATCATTATGCTATATGCGTATAGAAAAAAATATAAGATTAGTCACTAATTATTCTTGCAAATTTGATAACCATATTTTAATTAAATGTTTGTATTTTGTATATGAATTACAATTTAAAATGTTGGATGGAATATTATTATTCAGAAGTTCTAAACCTACTTTTGCAAAGTATCTACTAGATTTTAAAGTTTTTAATGTGGGGATGATTAACTTATTATTGTTTCGGCGTGTAGTGTGTGAGGTATGTTTAAAGTTTATCAAATTTAGTTTGTAAGTAAAATATAAGGCATTTCGGTAGAATAATTGTTTTATATTGAAAACATTCATTTCCTTAAAGAGCTCATTGGAAGGATAAGTTATAGGTTTATTAAGAATTATTTTTATGCTCTTTTGTGCTGTTTGTAGTTTGTTGTAAGCAACGATACCTAGTCCACCCCAGGCAGTAATGCCATATTGTAAAATAGATTGGGTCATTGCGAAATAAACCATACGTAGCATTGATTTATCTAATACTTTTTTGGCATTAATATAGAAATGATTGAGTTTGCGCATTTTTATTATTAAATTTTTTATTTGAATGTCCCATTTCATATATTGGTCAAATACAACGCCTAGATATTTAATATTATCTATTTTTTTAATTAATATACACGAATCATTTTTATTTTTAGCTATACAACATAGTTTATGTATTTTAATTTCGCTAATTATCGGTTGCGTTCTTTTATCTTGGGTAAAGGTTATGAATTTAGTTTTATTGGGATTAAGCCTTAAATTGTGTTTAAAGAACCATTCATTTATAATACACATGTCAGACTCGGCATATTGGTAGGCTTTTTCCCAATTAGTTTCTGAAATGATAAGAGCCGTGTCATCAGCATATGAAAATAGTTTGCCGTGTATATTAAGATTACCTAATTCAGCTACATATATTATATATAATATAGGAGATAGCACTGTGCCTTGGGGAACTCCATTGGTGATTGTTAGTTCGTTACTTAGGGTATCACCAATTTGTACTTGTTGTTTTCTATTTTGAAGGTAGGATTCAAAAAGTTTATAAGATTTATTGTTTATACCTATTGATTGAAATATACTTAACAACTTCACGTGGGAGATGCTATCGAATGCTTTACTCAAATCCATGAATATCCCTAGTGTTTTATTTTTTTGTTCTAGATTAGTGTATATATCTTTAGAGAGTTGTGCTAGCGCGTCTTCTGTACCTAAATTTTCTCTAAAACCATATTGCGAAATTGGTAGGATTAAATTCTCTTCAAGGTACGTTAAAAGTCTTTTTTTTATGATTCTTTCGAATATTTTAGAGAAAACATTTAGGAGACTGATTGGTCTATAATTGTTAATGTCAGTTTTATCTCCACTTTTATGTACGGGAGATAGATACTGCTATTTTAAATGAATTCGGTATACTGCCTTCTGATAAAATTGTATTAAATATATGAGCTAGGGTATCCGATATGAATTCTTTTATGTGTTTAATGACATTTATTGAAATACCATCCTTACCAAGGGCTGAGTCTCCTTTCATATTCATAATTACGGAAATAATTTCATTTTTCGTGGTTTTTCTAAGATATAAAGATTGAGTAGGATTATTTATATTATCAGAAACACCATTTTTTTGAGTTAGATTATTATTGATTGAATTCCCCATTGAGATAAAATATGAATTAAATGTGTTTGCAATCATGATGGAGTCAATGTTAGAGTCGTGTATTGTATTGTTGATGCTTATATTATAGCTGCGTGTTTTATATTGTGTATTAGTTGTTATATCATTCACTGTAGACCATAATTTTTTTATGTTTTTGCTGTTTTTTGAAATTTTTTCCCTATAATAATTCAGTTTTTGTTTTTTAATTATGTCAGTAAGTTTATTTCTATATTTTTTGTATTTAATAATTAGGTCTGTATTGAACGGTTGACGTCTGGTTAGGGTATGTAGTTTGTCTCTTTTATTTATAGATTGTATGATACCAGGCGTGATCCAATTTTTGATTTGTTTTGTATTGTGTCGTATATAAGTACACTTTTTTAGATTATTTTGGATTATTGTCGTGAGTAGTGCTATTTTATCTTCTGTTGTTTGAGATAATTTAATTTCATTCCAATTAGTTTTATCAGACAGAGATGTAAGTTTGTTATAGTCAACGAACCTATAAGAAGTTTGTTTTATATTTTTTTTACCTAGTTCTATTTTGTTATTTAATATTAAGATTATTGGGTAATGGTCTGTAATGAGAGAGTCTATAACTGCCGATTGTATATTATAGTGTTTAAGATTATCTCTAACAAAAATGTGATCAATGCAGGTATTGGACTGTGGTCTGGTGGGTCGATTGATAAGTTGAATAAAGTTTAATGAGTTAAGTAAGTCTAAATAATTGGCTGTTGAGTTAGTGGTGTCTAATATGTCTATATTAAAGTCTCCAATTAAAATAAATGTTGTGTTTTTGTGAGAATTTATAACATTGTTAATTACAATATCTAGGTCTTCGAAAAATTTAATTATATTGCCGCTAGGAGATCTGTATATAGATATAATTCCATAATTTACTTTATCATATGTTACTAGAGTAAGAATACAATTAGCATTTGTTATATTAATTTCCGTACTTATTTGGTTTATTTCGTTTTTAATGAGGATTATTATTCCATCGCTTCTACGAATATTGTTATTTGTGGATTCTATCTGGTAATTTTTGAATGGAAGAAAATTATCATTGAAGTTATCGTTTAGCCATGATTCGGTTGTTATTATTACGTGATTGTCGTTATTTAGGGAAGAATTGAGACATTCAAGTTCAGATATTTGTTTATTGATAATTCTAATATTAATATGTAAAATATTTAGACTTTTATGTGAAAGGAGAATTGAGTTCGTTTCCTCGATAGTTAATAAAGGTACAGTTTCTTTTTTAGTTATATTATTTATAGTTTTAAATTGACTCATTTGAAGAAAAAAAAAAAAATTTAGTAAAATTGAAAAAAGTTGAGATATAGATTATAAAACTTACATATTTTCTAAATCACTGTTGATTCTAATACGGATGATTCTTGCGTTCTCGTCTTTTCTAGTTAGAATTTCTGCGTTGGATATCCATGTAAATTTGTAATTCTTCTCTTTGGCGGTTGATCTAGTCTTAGCGAAGAGTATTCTTTTATCTCTTGTGAGATGTTCGTTGATGAATATTTTGTTTTCGGTTGGCCAGTTTTTGACTAGCATATTGGCGTTTAGTTTAGTATTTTTCGAATTGCGGATTAATTGATTTTTTAATTCTTTTGTTTCTAGTTTCGCAATAATTATATTAAGTTTAGACTTTTCTGCGGTTATTCTTTTAGCTTCTACGACAGGAATGTCAATATTCAGTTTTTTTCCTATTTCTTTTACTATATTTATGCAGTTTTCGTTTTCAGTTTTAGGTATTCCTATTATCTCAACACTGGTTTCAAGATTTTGTTGTTCAAGAATATCAATTTTTAGCTTAATTTCACTTATTTCTTTGGATAGTTTGATATTTTCTGTCTTGATTTGCTCATTTTCTATTTTAATTAATTTTATATCTTTGAACATTGTTTGGAGCTTGCTCTCAAAATCATGAAACTGTTGACTCATAAAACTTATTGAATTAATTAATTCTTCTATCTTATCTTCTAATTTATTGGTCGGTTCTGTAGTGGTTTTGGCGTTTCTGTTAGTTTGGTAGTTCATACATGTAAAGCGTGATTTGTTGGTTTTCGACATTTTTTTAAAATTTGATTCGGAGATTCCATTGCAATAAAAGTGAATCTGACCGTTGCATATACTGCATAGAAGTACGTCTTCTAGGTGAGTTAAATGCTCATGGCATTTAGAACACTCCGAAGACATATTAAAAAAAGAAAGAAAAAAGAAAAATGGAAAAAAAAATGATGTAAAATGTGAGGTAACGGTTATTTGTGTAATTTTAATAATACTTATAGATAAAGAGCGTATAGGCGATGAGTAAGTTACCGGACGGTACGGCTACCTGGTGATGACTGAAAATATAAAATATTAAAATAAAATAAAAAATATGTGTGTGCACATGATGTCCTTTCGCGTATCGGAGATGAAATAGTCGAATGCAAGCGTATATGGGAGTCGGCGAACGTCACCGACGGCCGTGGCTGTGCGGCGGTCGACCGCCGCGGTGTCGTAGCTGTTTCCCGTATATCGCGTTCAATTTCCGCGAGACGATTATTTAAGTCTATTAAACCTACTGGTGAATTACGGTCGGGTGTGCGTTGGGAGTGCCCAACTGCCCCACAGCAGCCGAAACTTGTCTGCACCAATATAAGAAAAATAAAGGTGTCAAAAAGACAAAATAAAACCAATACGCAAAATATATAAAAGGCCACGAAGACGGCAGAAAGCAGACAAGCGCCGCCGTAGTTCTCGACGGTCGTCACACCGTCCGCGAACGCTTCGGGGCTCATCGCCGACTCCGAAAACTGGTTCGATTATCTATCGGGCGTCCCGATTGATAATCGAACGAATGGTGACACCAAGGCAAAGGGGTGTAACGGGTGAGATCACGATATTCGTGTGACACGACCGTGTCAATAGTTTAACAGAAAAAGAAAAAAATGAATTCGGTAAGTATTTTTATTTTAATAAATTAAAATATAATATAAAATATACTATACTATCAACATAATATAATTTTTAGGAAAATTTTAACTTTAAAAAAATATGTATTCATAATAATTAGTAATTACTATCCCAATGCTACCCTATCTTGCCATTCTAGCGGATTTGTATTTACAAAATAATCAGCAAATAAATCTCTATAAGACGCTGATGATCTACTTGCTCTGCTTGAAGGACCTGGGGGTGTTGCTAGTTCTGAAGGGACTTCCAATGTGTCTTGAAATCTATACCCATCTTTTTGTCGCACGTAATTATGTAACACACAGCATGTTTTTATTATGATGATTGCCAATTCTTTTCGAACATCCATTGGACGGTGAAAATTTCTCCATTTGTTTGCCAAAATGCCAAAGGAGCATTCTATGTAACACCTTGCCCGAGACAGTCGGTAGTTAAAAATCCTTTTGTTATTTGTTAAATTTTTTCCTCCATAAGGACGCATCAAATTGTCAGATAAACCAAACGCCTCGTCTCCAACAATAACATATGGCATCGGTATTCCGTTGTTTGATATGGGAGTTTTCTCCGGTATTCGTAAATTGTTATTAACGATTTTTTTATGCAAAACTGAATGTTTAAAAATCGATGAATCACTACACTTTCCATATGCGCCAACATCTATATAAATGAACTTATAATCTGCATCACATCCAGCAAGTAAAACGATAGAGAAATAATTTTTATAATTATAGTAAAGTGACCCTGAAGCACTTGGTTTTATCACTCTTATATGTTTGCCATCAATGGCGCCAATACAATTGGGGTAATCTGCATTTTCATTAAAACCCTTGGCTATTTCAAGCCATTTTTCTTCATTTAATTCTGGAAACGCTGTGTGCCTCATGTTCTCCCAAATTGCTAAGCATGTTTTATGTATAATATCTCGGACAGTGGTGTATCCAATCCGAAAATTATGATTTAAATCTCTCATAGAGCATCCTGTGGCTAGATATCTAAAACAAATTATTATTTTCAGGTAAATCACTACAACAAAAGTGGAAAAATATAAGAACAAGTTTTAGCAGAGAATTAAAACGCAGATCAAGAGCTAAAAGTGGAGCAGCAGCTTCGCGTAAAAGCTCTTACGTTTATTTCCCACAGCTACAGTTCCTTAAAGAAACAGTGCAAAATAATCAAACTCAAGCTAGCATTGATGAAACGGAAGTTATTAGTAATGATGAAGGCGGTAACGTTCAAATTCGTTCGCCAGTTTTCAAAAAGAAAAAGAAAAGTGATGATGATAGTTTGATTGAAGTACTAAAGCAAAGTATCTAATTAAGGGAAAATCGTGAAAGGAAACAAGAATGTGATTCAGATAGACTTTTTATGCTTTCACTTCTGGATGATTTTAGAAAAATTCCGGAAGATAGTAGGCTTTCTACAAAAATGGAGTTAATGGAGGTAATAAAAAGAGCACAAACCCTTAGAGTGGAAATTAATGATCAAAGTTATTCTAATAGTGTGCCATACATTCACAGATATGGACCAGAGGCATCGAGCAATATTGGCCAAAATCACCATGAACACTCAGTACTACCTAACTATGGACCAGGTGCTTTCAGAAGTAGACAATACCACCGGATATTCAGCACAACCAAATTATGGACCAGGAGCATCTAGCAGTGGACAAAATCGTTGCGTATTTGCCACGCCTATTTCAAACAACCAGAATACTACAATAGTATATCATGAGGGATTATCACCTACTGACTCAAATGTAACAACTATGTCTGATAATTCTGAAATACTTGACCTATTTAATTAATAATAAAATGTATAATATATTAAGAAAAAATTGTTGTTTTGTATACTCACCTCAAAGTAATTATTAATTTTTCTTCGGGACATATACACTTTCGCATACGAGTGTCATTATCCAATAGTGAATTCTTTACATTTTCTAAAAGTTCATCAAACGATTGCACTGACATTCTAGTATAACTAAAAAAAAACGTTCCTTATAATTTCGAAGATCTTTAAAATAATTTTGAAACAACCCCTTTGAGTGCCGTTCCATAAATATAGGATGAATCCAATATCTTTTTTTTGTTCTGCGCTTCTTACGAGACAAATGGTAAATAGTGATATCCTCTTCTATGTCCATTTCGATCTAAAATACGATTTTAAATGTAAAAAAATGTACGATATGTATTGATTGACTGTTGATCGACTGACGGACTTGACATCGATCAGGCGGTCGGTCGTGGAGTGGCTGCTCAACTAACTGGCTGCCGCAGTTAGTTAGGTTAGGTTAGGTTAGGTTAGGTTACATGCATGTCATACTTAGCATTTATTTAAACAATTAGATAATACTTACATTTAAAAATAAAAATATTTTTGATTTAAAAATATGTAAAATATTTTAAATACATTTTTATAGTTGAATGTTTATTAAATCAGTGTTCAGCAATTTGATATATCTTACTTGACATTTTTCCATATTAAATATATCACACTTATATTATTTGTTTTATAACTAAGATCCATCTCATTGGAGGTGTCACTATTTTTTAAATTTAAATTGGTGTATTTAAATGTTACCTAATTTTCATGTTCTTAATAAAAAAAACTGTGTATTTGATCTTTTTTTTTTTTTTTTTGCAGCCTTTGTAAATTAATAAATAATTATATTATACACTAGTGGTATATCCTGTGTTAATTAAGACAAAAAAAAATATTTTTGTACTAACCTTATGGAGGCATGTAAACAAAAAAAAATTATAGGTGGTTCATTAAAACCTTAAAACCATTAACTTTCCAGGGGGGTTTGAGCCCCCAAACATTCCCTGTATACTTGCCTGACCATATGTATGAATTAGATACAATAATTTTCAGCATGCAGTTGTTAAAATAATGAAAAAGTGATTAACACAAAAGGCATCAGAAGAATTGTGACCATTGTCACACAAAGTAATACCTCATTATTAATTCATCTTTGTTATCGCTATCTAACAATTTAACTCCAAAGTCATTATCAATAGTGCTTGAGTCAAACAACCTGACACGACACAACTTAGGACGATACTCTACTATATCATCAAAACTAGACAACATGAAAAAAGTTTAATGAGATTGGTTACCAAAATTTGAGTTGTTATTAAAAATGAATGTATATATTCATACACAGAGAAAAGTCCTGCAGTAGTCTTTATTGGTGATAGATGAGGTGTAAAAGTTCTTTTGTAGGGTATATCATAATAATCCAAACCATTATTACTAATAAAAATAAATTAAATGATTTAATAAATTATATTATATCAGTACAGTACTAACCGTCATTCGAGTAGGTTGTGCTTATCGGGTGTGTTTATCGCTTATAATGTAATGGTTAGTTTTGCATTGTGTACATTACCAATAATAGCGTATCGAACCTTCGATTGTTTGTAATATTTGTAACCAAATTTTTCATAATAACAGTGTCAATTTGTCAACTTATTCTAAAGAAAGAAAGTGTTTAATCTGTCTAGACATTATGCCGACTCCGTCTAGCTCAAAAAATATGGATAGTGCAAAACTGGACGAATTAGAAATTTTTCATTAGAAAAAAGTTTTCTATAAAAGAATCTAATATTTCAAAAAAATTAGACGAGACCTTACAATCATTTTTGATTATCAGCGTTCTCTGTGGACGGACGTCTGATTGTTGCATTCTCGCTTATCTTATAACAGTAGTGATATTTTAGTTAATTGAAGTAAGTCATTATGTTGTGTACCGTCTGCAACGACGACATATATAATAATGAAGATATAAAGTGTGTAAAGTGCAAAAAATTTTTGCATTTCACATGCGCTGGTTTCCGTGAATCTAATTTTAGGAAATTGAGTGTTATAAACAAAGGTAAATGGTGTTGTTCGAACTGCAAAGATAATACAAATATATCAATTTCTGATACAAATAATGAAAAAGAAATCATACTGGAAAAAGATTCAAATAAAATTTTATTTGACTTAAAAAATTCAGTAGATTTCATGAGTAAACAATTTGATGATTTTTCTACACAATTGCGAGACATTGTAAAATCCGTTAATGCTATCAGCGAAGAAAATAAAGTATTAAAAGAACAGAATATTAAACTGAAAAATGAATTAACTGTAGTTAATAAAAAAAATAAATACCATAGAGCAGAAACTAATTGGAAACCATATTGAAATCATTGGAGTTCCTGAAAAAACAAATGAAGACTGTGGAAAAATAGTAGAAACAATTTCAAAGACCTTGGGTGAAATTACATCTGTGGAATATGCGTATCGTACCCGTTCAAAAATCCAAAATAAACCTGGGAAAATCGTAGCTGTCTTATACTCGAACAATAGTAAAAAAACACTGATGGACCTGGCAAGAAATAAGAAATTAAAAGCAAAGGATATCCATACAGAATGGAGTAATGAAGGTATTTATTTGAATAACGTATTAACTCAGACAAATAGTAATTTATTCTATAAGACAAGAATGTATGCTAAGAAATATAACTATAAATATGTCTGGTTTAGAGACTGCAAAATATTTATGAGAAAAGACGAAAAAAATAAAATTATAGTTATAGAGGACGAGTATACTCTAAATAACATTGTTTAATATAGGAAACTATATATACATATTATATTTATATTATACGATAAATATCCAGTTAATATTTCTATAATTTATTATGCATGTTATTAATATATTAGATAAATTTCTAAATTATAAAACAAAATACTTTGACTCTGTTACTGAATTTGTTTATACTTATAATATAAAAAATAAGTTGTGTATTAATATTTTATGTTGTAATATTAGGAGTGTAAGTGCGAATTTAGATGAACTACTTATGTTCCTAGAAAATAATAATCATAAAAATAATATAGATGTTATTGTGTTAACTGAGACTTGGCATGATGTTAAAAATTGTAATATAAATGTATCCGGTTACAATATGTTTTTCTCGAAAAAGAAGAGAAATCAAAACGATGGAATTATAATCTTAATAAAAAATAGCTTTAAGTATGAACTTTTTGAATATAACTTTGATGAGGTTAATATTGTTAAATTACTTATTAAGGCCAATAAGACTCCAATTAGTTTATATTGTATATATAGGTCTCCGTCAAATGATATTCACAAATTTTTGACCATTTTAAATGATATTTTATCAACAGAAAAAAATCTAAGTGGGTTTACAGTGATTCTAGGTGATATAAATATAAACATAATTGGTATAGACAAGTCTGATAATGAATACTTAGATATATTATAAATGTTTAATCATAAATCTTTTATTAATATATATACCAGAACTCCGACTGGTTTTAATCATTCTTGCATAGATCATATTTTTATCAAAGATAACAAAAAAATAAAAAACTTTAATGCCGGTGTCATTCAAACTAATTTTAGTGACCATTTTTCAATGATTTTATCAATACCCGTATCTGAAACAATAAATAATTCAAAATGCAATACAATTAACTATATAGATTTTAATAAAGTTGATACTAGTTTAAAATCTGAACTCTGGACAGGCGTATACAATAGTCAAAATGTTAATGTAAGCTGTGATAGATTCTATAATATATTAACTTCTAAAATAGATACGGCTACTTCAAAAAATATTGTAAGTTCTAAATATAAACGATTAAAAGACTGGATGACATCAGGTCTCCTATGCTCAGCTCGAAAAAAACAAAAGTTATCCTTAAAAGTGAAAATGCATCCAAATAACAAATCGTTGGTGTCTTACTACATCAAGTATAAAAATAATTTTACTACCATTTTACGACGAGCAAAAATTAACTTCTATCAAAATAAATTTTCCGCGGTAGCGTCTAATCCCAAATTAACTTGGAAATTAATTAAAGAAGTTACCGACACTGAAATCAAAAATTCAAACGAAATAAAAACTATAATTATCAATAACAAGGTTATAAATA